GAGGGGTCTTTTTCTGGGCTTCAATCTTCATGAAGCTCATAGTATGAATGAGGGTCTAAACCTGCTGAAAGTTTCAGTTCATAGATGTTAGGAGCTGGAAGGGACCTTGCAGATCATCAGGTTCAGCCCCCCTGCCCTTGGGCAGGAAAGACTGCTGGGATCAGATGACCTCAGCATAGTGAGTGTCATGACGCTTATTGAAGATCACCAAGGGCGGGAGTCTGTTCCAGACCCTCGCCACTCAACTTGTAAAGAAGTTTTTCTTTATGTCCAGTCTGAAGCGATTCTCAATCAGTTTGTGCCCATTGTTTCTTGTCTTCCCTTGGGGGGGCCTTGGTGAACAGATACTCCCGCCGGCCCCGGTGGGCTGTCACCAAGTCCCCTCTGATTCTTCGCTTCTCCAGGCTGAACAGTTCCAAGTCTTTTAGTCACTCCTCATATGACCTGCAGTAAATCTCCTCTCCCTGCCCCCCCGCCCCTTCCTTTTTTGTTTGGTCATCAGCAATGGCGATAATGCTCAGCGAAGGCTGTGTCTCACCTTGCCTCCTTGCAATGCAGGGCCTTGGTGCGCCATGCTGCACCAGGCCAGGGGACAGAGCCCGGAAGTTGCATGTGTTTTGTGTACAAATAATAGGAAACTAAATGTACTGTGGAAAACACATTGCAAATGACTAAATTAGATGAGATGATTTAAAATAGTGGTGCTCAGCCTTTTGACTCGTGGGCCAGATAAGTAGTGCAAGGCTGGTCCCTGGGTCAAATTGGACCCTGCACAGCAGGATCAGGCCTGCACACCTAGATCTGGTGCCATGTGCTGGGAACGGGCCTTGGAGCCTTGTACCACCTCCGCCTGGTCCCACATGCCAGGATCAGGGACCGCGCCGAGTCCACACAGCATGCAAGGACTGGGGCCCTGCACAGCCCTTGCCTGTCCCCCATGCTGCCTTTGTGTGCCCAATTGAGCACACAGGGCACCAGCCTGTGGGGCTCCCCATAGACCTGTGGAGAGTCCCGTAGGCTGGATGACACAGTTCCAGGGTCTGGATCTGGCCTGTAGGCCTTGGGTTGAGTACCCTGGATTTAGAAGATGAATAAGTTTTTCAGAAAAGAATAATTCAGAGAAGTTTACATGGAAGCAACGAAGACACTAAGCCTCATAAAGGAGTGAATTACCACCAGAAGCGTTGACTATCTGGAAACAATGTGCATTGAATAGAACTTGTGTTTATATGATAGCAATAACCAAGCATACATATGCATCTAGGCTCATTTTTATTTTTTTTAAGTACATATTTTTAAATAGAATTTTATGCAGTGCTGAGAGACTTAAATTAACAAATAATTTTAGTACTGAATGACTGACAGAAGTTTCTTATTACAGGAATAAGAAAATTGTTGATTATTCACAGTTTGGGGACTTGGAAAATGATGGTAAGCTGTTTACTATTACGTATACAAAAAAGGGTCAAGTTCGGAAATGAAAGAGGTCAACCGTTTCATTACTTGTGTTAAAATCAATTGCAAAACACTGTTTGGCTTAACTGGAAGCATATTTCAGGCCTTATTGGAGTGCAATCTATATTTTAAGAGGATAGCACAGCACAATACTGATTTTTATACTATAGCTCATTCATAAGATTGGGTTAGTTCAGTGAGTGTCAACCTTTTTGTCAAGCATGCCACAAGATAAGCCTGCACTTTCCCTGAGTGCCACTCTGATCCTTTTGCCCTGCCCAATTTGTTGCTCTGTTTTTTGATCCCTGCCCTAGCTGTGGCTCTGCTTGGTGCTCCCTGCCCTTTGCTTCCTGTGTGATCTGGTCTTGTCACTCCTGCCTGTCCTATCTGCTTCTGTGTTCCCTGCCCCCTCTCTGATCCATCCCATGTCACCCACAGAGGCTGCCCATGCCACTGTGGGTTGGCCACCCCTGCACTAGTTCAACCTCTTTTGCAGAAAACCTGCAGGAGGAAGCTCAGGGCGGGGGAGCTCTGACATCTTTCCTCAGGGGTTGTGACACATTCTATATTCTTCTATGGAATAGGACGGACGCAGGACCTCCCTCTAAATATCAGGGATCTTAAAAGTCCTGAATCATTAGTGTAAATGTTGAATGCCTCTGCTGCTGCTCTATATCTGTATTGGTTCTGCCACAGTCCATAGCAAGTCAAGTCCACACTGCCTCTGAAATTGTAAATACAGCTCTAGCTTATCTTTCCTTTGGATCTGGAAGGGGAACAGTGATGGGTGCCACATATCCTCCTCCAGCTCACCCATAACCTACCCTTCTTCTATACTGGACCCATAGAGAAGTTTCTTCTGGGTTCTGGAGTCAGAAGGAAAGAGGTGGTGTCATAAAAACTACTGAACCTTCCCTTACGTGGGAGGTAGGGGAGACAGTGTTGGAGATCACCGCCATGTGTATAGTCCTTTCCACTGCCATTTGTTCAGGGGTTTGAATTTGATATAGAAATTTTCTGTAGCTTATTATATTTGAAGTATAAGTTCTGAGCCTCAAAGAACTTTTGTTAGAGTTCTTTTAAATGGGGTGAGGTGAATTGGAGGAAGGCAAAATCTTTAATTTTTAATGTTTTTGTAGAGAGCAGTTGTGCATCATGCTGAGAGCACGAAAAACTGTCTATATTACCCTTGGCTTGCACTTTGACCCTTAGTGTCTTCCATTACACCTACCCTTCTTTCCTCTGATTA